GGGACCCCAAAGCCTTTGCGCGCCTCTCTGCAGATGGCAGAGTGTTGGCGGCCATGCATGAGCCGGCTGTAGCAGGCTTGGATCGCATGCCAGCGATAGAACCTGCTGTTGCCTCTCTCATCGTGTCACCAGAAGAAGCTCTGCGCAGTCATGTTCGGTGCCCACGAGCTCAGTGTCGTGTCACGGATGAATTCCTCTGCAGAGCCTATGCCGCCGGAGCGCGTGCTGGCCGCCTAGGTAATTCCTTGGCACACCTAATGCTTGCCCTCTCTGCGTCCCTTCAGGGGACTAGTAGTGCGACAGCAGCAATGGGCTTTAACGATGCAGCGCTTCAGGCCTTTGCACTAATGACGAGGGAGCTTGGGCGCGTGATGTCCTCCTTGGTCCAAGCTCGCCGACAGGTCTGGTTGGCGCAGTCAGCATTGATTGAGCCATGCCGTAGAGCCCTCCGTAATGTCCCAGTGGTGCCGGGGGAGTTGTTCGGTTCGCCTGCCTTGGAAGCACTGGAACGGACTGTCCAGGCACGACAGAGAAGGCAGCAATTTTCGAGCCTTAGCAGGCCAATGCCCCCTCCACCTCCTCGGCATCCAAGGCGCCTGTCGGCTGGCTCCAGCATGCAGCCGCCGCCTGGGGGTCATAACCGGCCGGGTGGTCCTTACCCTCATGCGGTTCAGCAAAGGCCCAGCAGGAGCTTTTGTGGGTCGGTCCACCGACCAGCTGGGCAGGCTCGGACCAGGGACTCTGGCTGCCGCTCCCCCACGGGAGGGAGACGGTAATGCCATCAGGCCGACCGCCGGATATTTATCCCACCAGCAGCTCAGCTATTGGGTTGCTCACGCCGTGGACCCATGGGTGGTTGCCACTCTGACCCATGGTTACCGGCTACAGTTCCGACGGCGGCCTCGTATCTCATGCCGGGTCAAGATGACTGTAATCGTCGACCCGGTGAAAGCTCAAGCACTAGACCAGGAGCTTTCCGCCCTCCTGGCCAAGGGCGCAATAGAGGCAGTGGACCCTCTGCAACAACCCAGGGGCTATTACTCGACTTACTTCCTTGTGCAAAAGAGGACGGGCGGGTTTCGTCCCATTTTAGACCTGAGGGGACTCAACCAGTACCTAAAGGAGCTGCCCTTCCACATGCTCACAACAGCAGAAGTCCTTCAAGCTGTCATGAGGGAAGAATGGTTCACGTCTGTAGACCTGAAGGATGCATATTTTCATGTGCCTATTGCGGCAGAACATCGCCGCTTTCTCAGGTTTGCCTATCGGGGTCACCACTGGCAGTTCCGGGTACTCCAATTCGGGCTCTCTCTCTCCCCAAGGGTGTTCACTCGGTGCGTGAAGGCAGCCCTCTCTCCTCTGCAGGCCTGCGGAGTGAAGATTCTGCCGTACTTAGACGATTGGCTTCTCTGCGCCCCGTCTCAGGCCTGTGCCCTTCACAACACAAACCGCCTGCTCGCTCATATGTCCCAGTTGGGCCTCAATGTCAACCTGGAGAAGAGCTGCCTGATCCCTTCCCAGATGACCACCTTTCTTGGGGTGGTTCTGGATTCATCTTCCATGAGAGCTCGCCCATCCGCTCAAAGGGTGGCCGGCATACTCCAGCTGGTCAATTGGTTCAGGCTGGGCAGGCAGCTCTCCTATGTTGCCTTCTTGCAACTACTCGGCAAGCTGACATCAGTCACTCGGTTGGTGCCCTTAGGCCTGCTGTCACTTCGCCCCTTGCAGAGGTGGCTCAACAGCTTTCACCTGGATGCCAGGCTGCAAAGGCATCGCAAGCTCGCAGTGACGAGGTCATGTCTTCATGCCTTGACTCCATGGAGGGACGGAGATTATTTGTCCAGGGGTGTCCCCATGGGAGTGGTAGTGTGTCGCAGGGAAGTGATCACGACAGATGCCAGCTCCATGGGATGGGGGGGCCGCTGGGGTCAAAGAGACCATTCCAAGCATATAAATGTGCTGGAGCTGCGTGTAGTGTACTTGGCACTCAGGCACTTCCTGCCTCACCTGGAAGGGAGGCATGTACTTGTTCGGTCAGACAACACCTCTGTTGTCTACCACATCAACCATCAGGGGGGCACCAGGTCAGCACAACTTCTGAGAGTGTCCAGAGAGCTCCTGGAATGGGCCTCTCCTCGCCTGTCCACCCTGCGGGCAGCGTACTTGCCAGGGCAACACAATCAGGTCGCAGATTTTCTCTCCCGCCAAGAGTCCCCTCTGGGAGAGTGGTCCCTCCACAGCGACATAGTGCTGATGATCTGGGACCGTTTTGGTCCCAGATCATCAGCACTATCTCTGCCAAATCACCCAGATTTGGCAGAGATAGACCTGTTTGCGACGGAAGAGTCGACTCAGTGTCCCATATGGTACTATCTTACGGGGGCGTCGGGTGCGCTAGGCCAGGACGCATTGGCTCATCCTTGGCCAAGGGTCCTTCTATATGCCTTTCCTCCCCTTTCTCTGATTTGGCCAACCCTTCAGAGAGTCCTCGAGGAGGGCCACAGGATGCTGCTGGTGGCTCCGTATTGGCCAGCACGACCATGGTTCGCACTGCTACGAAGTCTATGTCAGGGCGTCCCATGGTGTCTTCCGACCAGAAGGGACTTGCTGTCTCAGTTGAGGGGACTGATATGGCACCCCAATCCTCAACGTCTTCAGCTGTGGGCGTGGCCACTGCAAGGCTAGGACAGCAGCTGACTGGAGTTTCGAGCCCCGTCAGACACACCATCCTGGGCGCCAGGGCACCCTCTACTCGTCAGCAGTACGAAAACAGGTGGCGCCTGTTTTCCCAATGGTGTTATGATCACAACAAGGATCCAGTCTCCTATACAATACCCACCATTCTGGAGTTTCTCCAGTCTCTACTTGGTAAGGGTCGCTGTCCTTCGACGCTTAAAGTTTATGTAGCGGCAATATCATCTAATCACGCTGGCATTGATGGCCGTACGGTAGGGAGCCATAATCTAGTCTCTCTTTTTCTGCGTGGTGCCCGTAGGTCACACCCGCCGACAGCTCCACGAGCACCAGGTTGGGACCTTCCCTTGGTTCTCGAAGCTCTGTGCCGTCCTCCTTTCGAGCCTCTGTCGCAGGCGGACCTCAAGTGGCTTTCATGTAAGACGGCTTTTTTGTTGGCTATTACCTCAGCAAAGAGGGTCAGCGAGCTACATGCTCTCTCAATCAGCCCCTCATGTCTCAGGTGGGGCACTGAGGGCTCGTGTGTTGCCTTGTGGCCAAACATTGCATTCGTACCAAAGGTGTTATCTCACTCTCACTCTAACCAACCGTTGAGGCTGGCACGTTTTCAGCCTGCGCCTGGTGAGGGGTCTGCATTATTGTGCCCGGTGAGGGCACTGGAGGCATACGTTGCAGCTACTGCCGTGATAAGACATTCAGACCAGCTGTTTGTGTGTTATGGAGGCCCTAGGTTAGGCTGTCCTCTTTCCAAACAGCGCCTCTCCCACTGGATCGTTGACGTCATCTGCCACGCCTATGCTGCAGGGTCCGGCCCCCTGCCGGTCGGCTTGAAGGCTCACTCTACCAGGAGCGTCTCCGCTTCCTGGGCTGCCCTGAGAGGGGTTCTGCTGGAAGCAATATGTGCTGCTGCATCATGGGCTTCCCCAAGCACGTTCACCAGATTTTATAGAGTTAACGTGGCCACCCCTCATCCCCTGGGCCAGGTTCTTCTACAAGGGTCCTCTGGGCCTCCTCAGTGAGGTAGGTGTTTAGGATTCCTTGTGACATCGTTGGTATTAGTCATTCAGTGCTTTCAGCACCGCCCTCTGGCGGTCAGGAGGGATGAAATAGAACGAAAGTTACGTATGTAACTACGGATCTATGAATCCCGGATGACCGCCAGAGCTTCTCCGTCACTCAGAATCCTTGCGTTCCACGAGAAGATTCTGTAGGAGCAGAGCAGCGGATGACATCGGGCTATATAGCCTCTGATTGGTCATCCGTGTCACACCTGTGACTCCGTTGGTATTATTACTCGAATCAGCGCATGCGCGAAGGGAACATTCAGTGCTTTCAGCACCGCCCTCTGGCGGTCATCCGGGATTCATAGAACCGTAGTTACATACGTAACTTTCGTTTTATATATGTCATTGTACCCTATAGCATATTCAATTCAACCTTTATTTATACAGGTTAGTCTCATTGAGCTTCGAGGACTCACTTACAAGAGAGACCTGTTTTAACAATGATGACAACAGTAGAAAATCTTAAAAGAAGGCACATAAATGGAAAACAATTAATGGAAGAAAATGATGTTATAAAAGCAGCTACATTATAAAGCGATATAAAACACTAAAAACAGGAACATGTCTGTATTAGTTTTTGCCATGAACTTAGCATATCATATTATAGTGTGATATGTCATAACCTATCATATCACATTATATCCTGCTGCTTAGTCTGGGTTGTATTGTATTTCATATACCACATCAATGTGGCCCAAATTGTATCTTACTGTACTGTCCTGTGTTTGCTTTTTATCAGATCTTATTTTATCATGTCTCAAATATCATTTTGTATTGCATTTTACTATGTTTACTTTGTTGTACTTGTATTATATCATTTCATATCGTAATTTGAATATGAATGGTCCATACTTATATATATATATATCACCTTTTTAAACTCTTGAGGTTCTGAAGAGCACTTTACTATGTTTTTCATTCACTCATTCACACTTATCCAGTGCTTTCTATCATACACAATATTTTACACCCCACGTTTACATTCTCACTTGTTCACTAACGAGCACTTCAGGGATGAAGGGTGGTGTCAGCGTCCTGGCAAAAATCATTTTAGTGAACTCCCAATCCTCTAATTGGAAGATGGCCTCCCTACTAGACACATCATCCTGTACCAGATTTAATCAAATATTACACCAAAATTCAACTCAGGGTGTAAAAAGTAAAAAAAGGAAAAGAATAGAAAACTGTACTTTGGTGTTTTCCCAACAAAAGCAATAATTCATCTTTTCTTTTTGTCCTCAGGGGTCACCACTGTCCTAACCATGACCACCCTGAGCATCAGTGCTAGAAACTCCTTGCCTAAGGTGGCGTATGCCACTGCTATGGACTGGTTCATGGCTGTGTGCTATGCCTTTGTCTTCTCTGCCTTGATTGAGTTTGCTACAGTCAACTACTTCACCAAACGCAGCTGGGCATGGGATGGGAAGAGAGAGGGCATGGAAATAAGGGTGAGTGATTAAAGGCAATATTTCACACCTGTACATCTGAAATATTCCCGTGCACCAAGATTAAAGGCATTTTATGACAAAACGTAACATTTTTTTGAGGCATCAACACTTTTCTGCTTGTTAAATTAGATTAGAAAACAATGTTGTAACAACAAATACTCCCCAAGTTATTCAGAATCGTTTCATACTGCAGCCGTGATGAGGAGAAGCTGCGCTTCAGAAACACATGAAAAGTTTCTTTTTTAACACAGCCTTGAGTACTCTATGAGGACTTTAAAGAGACCTTTTATTTATTCATTACCAGCCAAATGGAACGGGAACATCGGGGCGGAACAGTGAGAGTAAAAACAGAAGTAAACTCCCAGAGACGTTGGCCCTGATTTACAATCGCAGCATATGTTCAGCTCTCGTTCTAAAGGCACTGTGAGCTCATTCAATCCTGAAAGGATCCTTACATCTGCACGCTGATTAGAAAAACTGCAAATAAATCGCCTGAGGACGGCTCTTTTGAGGTTATTTTTACAGCATATAGGCAGATGAATCCTAATTTAAAGACCTTTTTCTATATTTGTCAATAGTGTGGACTGTTTGGGTTGTTTACTAGAATATAGGAGGGGAAGTAAAGATACAAATTAACTGAGTGTTTTAACTGCCTTCTCAATAACATGCGGCAGGCTGTGACTTCGCTGCCTACTTAAATTGTCTGGTGTTGCCTACTCTGATGATTTTTTTTTCCTTTTGGAGCCAGTCGACACGCTGCACATGATAGTCATATGACTATCAGTCGCTCTAACCGTAAAGATACAGCCCGTCAGAGATTCCACTTTAACTTGCTCCAAAAGTACAGATTTTAACTACACAACAGTTTTTAAATCGTGCTGATAGGCCAAGCAAAACCAGTTATGATAAATGAGCCACGCCACATCTTTTTCTGAAAATCATCAACATATCTGAAGCGCGTTCGAGCGAGAGGCCGCAGCAAAGATGGGCAGTCTCAAGGACAAAACACCCCCATCACCCTTCACTTTCACCTCCCACCCCTCCGAATTGCCTGGAAATTGCTCAAACTCACTGGGAGTGAGTCATGAGATTTGAGAGATTTGTGATATGTTTGGGTTTTATAGTTAGGGTGTAGTTTAGTTGTTTGGTGTTTAGTTTAGTCAGTTTTAGGATGTTTGAGTCCAAACGATGAGACGATTTTTGAATATGAGGAGGAGTTGCAGACCCAGAGGAGGACGGAACCGCCGAGTCAGAACCTTTCAGACAGAGGAGAGGATCATGAAGGAGAAAAACAGTCTGAGTCAGTCTCCAGCCTCCTACTCTGAACCATTAGCCTCCTACTCAAAAGGTTATTTTAGCATATCTCTGTCAGAGCTTCACCCATTCATGGTACTTACTGGCTGTAGGTGGAGCAAACAGTTTGAAGGCAGGAGTCCAAACTTAGGTCCAAACAACTTGCAGTAAGTTTTCATGAATAAATCTTGACTCTAATCATAACCCTAAAAGACTGAATATGAACTTTATATGTATATTTATATGAACTTAAAAAAAAATAAAGCTTAGCAGCTCAGAGGAAACTGATTTGTTTGATAGATTTCTTTGCTTCATGTCTGTTCTGATTGGACTCACAACGCCGAGTCAACAAAATCTAAATAAAATGTTTTCTCAAGTAAAAAGCAAGAGTAATATTTACAAGTTTAGGCTAATATTTAACTGTGTCCTTGATCAGTCTAACAGATCCCTGCAAGTTCCCTGCAGGAAGATATCAGAGCTACATCAAACTGAGATTTGTTGACTTGGCGTTCCAAGTTCTGACAGCAAGAGAACTGGAAAACACCCACAGGGATGTGGAATGATTCAGCCTTCTTTTCTTTTTTAAATTAAACAGATATTTACATTTAATGTAAAAGTCTCATTAGGCTCCAATAATTATATTAAAAAGTATTTTAGAGACAGTTGTTTTCAGGTAGGATAATGGTCAAAATAAGAAATGTTTAAATAAATGTTCCTTGTTGTTCAGAACCTCAGAGTTCTGTCTGCTTTTAATGCTTAATTTGCAGCAGAACCTGTATTTATTTTAAAGGAATAGTTCAAATACCGGTATTTTAAAGTGGGGTTCTTTGGAAAGTGTTATGAACAATAAATATCTTACCCGTTGTAGAGTGTTTGAAGAAACGGTTTATTTCTGACCAGACTGACGAGCTAACATCTAGCATGAGAGCGATCCAGAATAAATTGGATTGCTGTTTTATTAAAATTACATTAATTCAAACAAAGAGTGATTCATGAAAATGATATTTTAATAATTTTTTACATCATCAGCACTTTTGCATTGCATGATTATTTACAAGTGCAAACAGCAGCAGCAGCTAGCTGTAGCCCTTCTGGTGCAACCTGGACGACTTCAGATGTCACGGTAGCAGGAAAAAAAAACCCTTTTATTTTTAACAAAAACAAAAAGCTGAAGAGGCAGCAAAACATACGACTGAAGAAAAACCACGAGGTGAACACAAAGAGGAAGAGTGGACTGTGGCATGGGAAACCAAAAATGCTCTGCTGATGTGGATATGGAAACTGACGGACTAAATAGACAGGTGGAGACACCTGAGCTGACTGCTGAGTGGGAGCAGGGAGCGACTGAGGAAGAGCAAAGCCAAGTCCAAAGATCCAAAACATAAAATTAAACACAAGTCAAAAACAAAAAGCAAAGATCCTGCCACAATGTTACAAAATGGGTGATGTATACGTTTATAAAATAGTGTTTGTTTATGAAATAGTGTTTGTTTATGAAATAGTGTTTATGTTTATGAAATAATGTATTATGTTTATGAAATAGTGTATTATGTTTATGAAATCGTGTATTATGTTTATGAAATAGTGTA